CATGCATACATGCATGCATGCATCCATACTTACATACATGCGCACACACACAAACACACACACACACATATATATATATATGGTACCCCCAAACAAAAAATCCACGCTTTTCAGTCTGCTTTGAGCTCTTCGCGTGCAATCAATATCAATATATATATATATTAATTAATATATTACAACATACCTACGTACGACGTACATACGTACGGACATACGTTCATACTACTCTACATGGGTTTCCCATTTAAGTTTCTTTTCATAAGGTGCAGTACTACGTTTGGGACCACAAGGGACCCTAATTTAGAGAGCCACCAAGTATGCATTTATGCGACCATAGACACGCAAGAAATTACTTATTTAACTTGTTTATGCATCTGTCACAACCAAGACTTGCATGTGCAACACTATTCTGAGGCCGGTGCGTTCCCCCTTATTAAAGAAAGCTCGAAGTTGACGCAGCGGAAAAATGGAGGCTCACTGTTACTAGCATTCCCCGATCTTGCTGCAGTGCTTGTACTGCAGCGTTACTCGCGCCGCCAGAGCCCCTCTCTCGGTACTTCGGCACTTGTCGCTTATCTGCCACCGGGGCCCCTGAGGCAAAAGAACTCGGGTGCTGCTGTTGGCTCTCTGCACCTGGACGCGAAACACGGATGCTTCTGGTGTTTCTCGATCTATCGCCTCCCATGCGTCGCGCTTCTCTCGGAGGGCTTTGCCGTCTGAACTCTCGCTCCGGCCAAGCAAGCGCACTGTCAAAGCCCCTGCCCGATGTGTATTTCGTCTTCTCCCCCGGGCTGAGGACAGTGGCGATGAACTCGTAATGGTTGAAGGGACAGCGGCTCTCTCTTCTTCTGCTAGGCGAACTTACACTGCGCGGGCCCGCATCGTCGAGCTCCAAGGGCACCCCCGATTGCAATCCCACACCAGCTCTCCTCTTCTGCTCTAAACTACTTGCAGCAACAAGGAGAGACTAAGCCATGAGCAGAAGTCGCTGGCCGCAGCAAACTGGCGGCGAGGAAGCACAAAGGGTAGCAATAGCAGAACCTCGGTCCAGAGTGGCCTTTGCTACAAAACAATGAGCCAACTCACACAGTGCCACGTGATCTTGCGAGGCCACTGCCATATTCGAACAGCTTGTTGCACCCACCTGCCATCAACGGGGTTGAACGCAAAGACTCTTTGCTTAATGCCCAGGTATGACGGTGGGAAGTAAAGAACGAGACCAGGCAAGTGCCTCGACTGGGCGCAGCACGATGCATCGCGCACCTTGCTATCTGAAACGCACGAACGAGATGTTGTTCATTCCCTGCTGCATGAATAAGCCGGCCGCCGGCCGTGATGATGCATCGCTGTCCGATGATTCCATCAGCCGCTCCATGGTCGAATGATGGGCTGAGCTGGATCTTTACGGGACTTGGCTGATCGTCTGGGGTGCGATCTGCTCGTCTTTATCTCTGTCACATTCCGCCAAAGCAGAACTGGGAGTTGCGCGATAATCACAGTCCGATACAACCTTCGGGGGTCCGCATTGCCGTTTAAACTTGCTTTCAAGCTGCAGGGAAAGGCAAGCGACTTCCCATGATGAAACTCACTCTGCATGCGCTGCGACCTTCAAGCAGCCAGCGGCCAGTTTCTGCAAGTCGCTGTACAGGTGAGACCCGCGTGCTCAATTGAAGCGACGGCTGCTCAAGGTCTGCCTGCACCAGAGCTGCATCAGACACCAGATTGCAGTGGCATCCCTACAGCGGTAGCGATGGGCTTTCAGTGGAGGGTTCTGAAACGCCTCGATGGGTTGCGTCCCCAACTGTCGAAGAGCCCGAGTGCCTGCAAAGCTCAGCGGCACATGAGATCCTGCCCCCAAACAAGCTGATTGACTCCGTAAATCAACGCTTGTAGCGCAGCGCTGAACAGAAACAGACCACTGGCCGCTTGCCTTTGCCAAGAGAGCGGCCAAAACGACCAGGAGCAGTACCTCTGCAATGAGGCAGATGCGACAGATGCGAGCTATGCTATGCTTCGTGAAGGCCCCAGGAGAACAGGGGGGTACCATACCATCGGTACGATCGAAGTACATAGCCTTAAGTGCGCCATACAAGCTGGGCATGGCACCAGGCTGCTCCAAGATGACTGCCTGTCGTGGTGAGCTTAGATGACTGTCGACATGCATGGCCATGGAGCGACATCTTCCGGAAAAAACGCTGCGTCAAATCAATGCAGCTTCGCTGCGTTGGGTGCATCCACGAATCCGAGCCAGGAAGGTTCAGAACCGGGCGCGCCCCGGCTTCCTGAGCACATTGGAAACTGTGCCAGCTCAATTTGCGTTAGACAATCCGGAGGGCCACATTCTCACTCCTTCCCAGACCAAGAAATTGGCTTCATTCAAATCTTGTAGTGACACCTTGAGTAAATGGCAACAATGTTGAGTGCCGCCCTGCCCACCTCCCACAATATTGAAACTCCGGCCTTAAACTCGCTAAAAACCCTCCTTGAACTCAAAAACACGATTCCAATAATCCCTTCACATAAGAACTCAGCGATCGACGCTGGGTTGCTTGTACTCTGAAGGAAGGGAACTCCGTTTCTAAGCACCGGGATGTCGCGAGGGCATCAGCGCCAACCAGCCTTTCCCCTCGGCAGCCGGGCCTTGAGAATCTTCCGACAGGCCACCAGCCGTTTCTGCGTGTCCGTGGACTCCACCCACTTCTTCCTGCGCGGGGCTTGGCTGATTCGGTGTGGTTTTGTGGTTAGGTAGGAAATGTTCGCCTCCTGCATTGCTTGACTGAGTCATTGGGCAGGGTGGTTGACTTTCAAACAAAGGGTTTCGTGGCTTGTAGAGCACTCCTAGAGGATATGCACGTACGTTATTGAAGGCAGTTCTGTGACAACTTGCGACAAGTGTAAAACCTGACGTTGCGCAGCGGTGCAGCACAGTTGGCTTGCAAGGTGCGGCGAGGCAGACTCGCGAAAGCACAATGATGCAATCGTCACTTGCACGGACTCTAAACTCTGAACTGCCCCTTAGGAGCCTCATGTGTGAGACAAGCGAGAGATGAAAGTTCCTAGGACACGAGCAGCTGGAGCTCGGTGCAAGAAAAGGCAGCAGGAAGCCACGGAGGCTACGGGTCA